TCTTTCTTTTTTTTAAGTGCATTTGTTTCTGATGATTTCCAGAAAGAGAGTTGTATTATGCACATAAGCTGTTGACCAGCACCAAAGGAAAAGAAAGAATTGTTACAATAGCATTTTCCCTGCTGTTGTAATCTTCCATTTCTTTCTTCTTTCAGATTTAAAATTCATCTTTCAAGAAGACTTTGGTTTGGGCAGCCTGCCCCCCAACCCCCTGTAGGAGGTCTCCCTCTTGAAATGAGAAAAGGCTCTGTGCCCAGGTCCCATCTTGCCACAGCTTGACTGCCTGTTGCTGGCCTGATGAAGGTTATAAGAAACATCATACCTTCACAGTCTCTCCAGATGTATTCATTGTCATAAACGTTGCACTTCAAGCCAGTTATTTGATTTATGTCATTGTACTTTGAATCTACCTGATAGTAATTGTCAGGGATGATGGTATGCACCCAGTAGCAGCCTTTAAGCCACCTGTATATATATTTGAATTTCACAGTTTGGTGGTAATCCTTTCTTCTTTTGATACTTGGAGTTTCAGGCTATTAAAATTACAATAAACTCTTGAGGTACTTTAGATGCTCTTCTGCTTCAGTTTACATGTTTTATTACACTATCTTGTTTGTGTTTACCAACAGGATTACAAGAATATGTAATGTCTGGCAAAGCAAATAGGAAGTAAAGTAAAAGTATCTTGCTCAGCTTAGCCTATCACTGCTTCTTCCCCAAGTCAAGCATGCCCTTTAAACTTTAATGGTTAACAATTACCCGGAGACCTGTTTTCAGGAAAATGTATAATCAATTCATTTGATGGAAACATTTTTGACTAAGATGATATGTTTTTATCCTAGTTTTCCTTGAAGCTGTTAAGTATTTGGAGATATAAATTTGAATAAATAGAATATTTATGCAGCTCAATATGAGTTTTATAAAAGATGGTCTATGAGATCAGGTATTATGACACACTTAGTATAAATTTGGTTATGTCTTCTTTTAGAGCAATTAAGTGATGGCAAGTTTTCCTAAATAGCATAAGAGCTGGTTGAGTTGATATTTGGAGTTTATTGTAATTTCTTGCCAATTTTGTTTCACACTTAGTAACATAGGGAAAAAGAGATGTTATACAGGTCAATTGTAATATGTGGATTCTTCTCCAGGATCGAAAGAGTCAAAGAGGAACCACTTGGTTTACCATGGGTCTGAAGTACTTTTGAACTTTTAAAACCATTTAATTAAAGTGGTTTCAATTATTTTCCAAGTCATTTTTGTGTCTTATTCTGTTAAGAAAAAGTAGTTAATGTTTTTGATAGTTTATCAGAATTTGTCAGATTTTTCTGGTTTTATAAATAATTATGCTGATTTACTAGGAGGAGGTTGGGGGATTTTAGAACAGTTGCTTTCAAGTAGTGATGGATTTGAAGCATTTTTTGAAAATATCTTTAAGTTTTTGTAGGTTGATGAGATAATGTACACTTGACTGTTATGTGATCAAACTTTTATTGCTCTTCTGTTTATTTACTGGTGAGTTTAGATGAGTTTTCAACTCTAAACGAGGATAATACTACTCTCTCATAGGGATGTTTGTGGTCCAATAATTAGGGTCCAGCCAAATAGTAGTGGTTGTCATGTTAATATTTCAGTTTAGGAACTTACTGGTCATTCAGGGAATCCCTGAAAAGAGTAGACAGAGGTGCATGTGTTCACTCGGGTGTTTGTTGTGAGCTAGCCATTGGGCTGAACCCTTTAACTGCGAACTCATTCTCCCATTAGTCCTGTGAGATAGGCGCTTTTCTCTTCTTCTAGCTACACATGAGAAGATGAAATCACACAGGGGTTGCCATTGCTGTTAAGTGGGAAGTCAGGATTGAAAGCCAGACAGTCCAATCTGGAGCCTGTGTCCCTAACTCTCCCTATAGACTGCCTTACACTTGGGCATGCCCAGGAGTCTCTAGGTGGAGTTCAAGTTCAGTCCTGCTCAGGGTTGATTTTAAAAGCTGATTGACCAGTCCAGTCCTGAGGAAATCTCCCTGTCCCTGATTCCTTGGCTCCCTAGTGGATACAATCCCCAAAGTGTTCTTGTGTGGGTTTAGTCCCTCATTCACCCCTTATTTCGCTTACCATGGACACCCTTTGAACACACCAGTTGGTGTTCATGGTGGGCCATAGATCATGGCCAAATGGGCTGGTGGTTTTAAAAATACTACATTCAATATAGGAGAAAAGGTGGACGGGTTCACTTCCTCTTGAAGGAGTGGATTTGGGGGCTAAGATGGGCAGGCCTCAGAGACCCGGTTAGTGGTTTTAGGAACTCTTAGTAGCATTTTGCTTACTTTCTATCCTTGGAGATATAATCCCAAGATAAAATCACTTTCTATAGTCGATTTATAAAAGATTACCTTGCAAAATAACTTTATGTTAAAACCTACTGATAGTCTCTAATCTGTGGCTTATGGTTAGGGTCAGATGTTGAACAACCTGTACCTGCTATTTAGAAAAAAGAAAAAATCCTGGAGGCTGGGGAGGGAGAGAATGAGTGTGTCATTGCTATCAGAGTTCACTTTTGGCTCTCCATACCCAGTTTGTGTGAGGCATGTTATTAGGATCTGAGGATCCTAATGTGTTTCTTCCAAAGCCAAATTAAGTAATTTTTATCAACCCACTGCTAATGTGTGAACTCCTTAGGAGTCCTAATTGCTTATTACTGCTTCTGTATCATTGTATGTAGTAGATGTTAAATGAATGTTGGTTAGATCAGTAAATGGAGACATTTTGTTAAATTAATGAAAGAGTATTAGTTTAGCTACTCTCTTATTTCCAATTTCTTATTGGACTTTCAAAACACACCCATAACCACCAACTATCAGAGACAGTTTTTCATCACTTTTCTGGCATGTGTGAGGCACTGGGTTCGATTCTCAGCACCACATATAAACAAACAAACAAACAAATAAATAAATAAATAAAGTTCCATCTACAACAAACATTTTAAAAAGAGGGGGTGGTGGAATTGAGCTGTTACATTTTGAACAACAGTATGAAAAAGTGAAGTGCTTGTGACAGCAAAGGAAACAATGAGCTCTGATAATTCCTAGTCTTCATCACAACTGCCATGGTCATACGTTGCTGGAATCTGTTTCTTCTATCAGGCTTAGAGTCTGGGTGCCAGGTGATTGCTGTGAATGCATTGAGCGATTTTGGATTTGGAAGTATAGAGAGGTTGTTAAAAGAAGTGTTAGAAGGGTTTTTTTTGTTTTTTTAATTACTGTAGGTAGCACAAATTCAAAACTGTACTGTCTTCCAAAAATTCCTAAGGAGGAAATCTTATCTTCACACAGTTTGCTGTAATTCTGCTGGAGTGAGCCGTAGTTGCTTAGTACATTTGAATACCTAAGATTTCTTCAGTAACTTATTGTCTATAGTTTGCAGTTTAATTTTGTTACCAGTCTCTGGACAATAGTTTGTTTTTTTTTTCCAAGAAAGATTATTATTTGTAAATGTGTTCAGCCATTGTGACATGTGGCGCTTATTAAACGTAATAAGAGGAAGCCCTCATGCACCAAGTGTGGAAGCTCTTTCCGGCTCTGCAGAGCCTGGTGAATGGCACTTCCTTATTTGTTTTGGGCTATCTCTATAGAGGGGCATGGCCAGCTTCATTTTGCTTATGTGGTAGTTACTGAAATAGCAGGAAATGGTGTGAACCCTAATGCACTGTTGATCCCTCGAGGACCTGAGTCTGTGCATTCCTGGTCCTATGAAATTGAGTGAAATTGGTTGAATTTTCTGAAATTCCTGTTAGTGGAAAAACTACTACAGAAGTATGTGGGACAGGAAAGAGATTTTTAAGGGCACAGTATGTATATTAAGTTGTGAGCTAAGTGATTTACCAAAATATTGGTTCATAATGTTGGCAGTGTCTTCAGTGCTTCTTCTCAGTTTTTAAAATTTTATATTGAGATAAAGTATCACAATTTTAACCATTTAAAAATAGACAATTTAGTGTATTTTAGTATATTCACAATGTTATGCAACCATAACTGCTGTGTAATTCCTGAACATGTTTATGGTCCCCCAAATATACCCTGTACCTATTAAGAACTCATTCTCTTCCCTCCCCTGAAAATTTGGCAACCACTAATTTGTGTCTGGATTTTCCTATTCTGTATATTTTATGCAAATGAATAACTTGAAAAATAAATAGTATCTAACTCATTCTTTGACTAAGTTCAGCTTATTAATGGCTCTGATGTTCTCATTAACCACCCCCATGCTGTAATTAAATGGTTATTAAGTAAACATAAGAATTTTACTTAAGTAGCAGGTATTTTCTTTTTTCTGGACGAAGTCATTTTTGATAATGAAATCTCAGTCCTTGTCCCACACAACTATCCAATAATGAGGACAAGGTTTTGATAAAAAGGGAAAAGCTGGTGTGGTGGTGCACACCTGTAATCTCAGTGACTCTGGAGGCTGAGGCAGGAGAATTGCAAACTGGAGGACTGCCTTAGCAACTTAGTGAGATCCTGTCTCAAAACAAAAAATTAAAAGTTCTAGAGATGTGACTCAGTGGTAGAGTATCCCTGGGTTCAATCCCTAGTACCCTCCCCACCCCCCCGCCCCCCCACCCCTACAGCTGTGCCCTGTTGGCAATCATTATTCATTTGTAGCCATGAGAGATAGCTGTTTCTTGGATCTGCAAATGTCAACCCTGAAGTCTGGATTACTTTATTCCTGTGGTCTGTGAGTCAAAGGACAGATAACTTGTTTTAGGATGTGAAGAAGGTTAATCTTGCTTCTCCATGGTTAGGGAAGGGGAAGGGGAAAGGGAAAAAAAAAACATGTCAGTTTTAAAATAAGCTGCAGTGGCAGAGCAGCAAGGGTTATATTCAAAGCTTGAGGTGGACACGATGCACTTTAGCTCTGCAGCTATGATTTGCTCAGTTTATCATTGCGAACTCTTCTGGCTCATCCTCTTCCCTCCTGTGTCTATCTTTGGCCAATCTGCTCTTCAGGTGAGAGGACCGAAATTCAAGTCTATGAATTGTGCTTTTCTCCAGAAGCAGCACGCTGGGAAAAACACATTGAAATGGCAAGAAAGGGAGACTAGAAGATAAACGTCTGCTCACCTTCCTATTCATGTGGCAACCTGATGAATTTGACTTAAGGGGGATCATTTCAGATCATCAGTCTTATCATCTTTGTAAGTACACAATATTTGGTTTGACTCCAGGTGCTGCAAATCTGATCATTTCGATGTGTTGAAAGGACTCTAATGGGTCCCAGTAAGCACAGCTCATGCTGCTGCTAGAAAATTAACCTAGCAGTGGGAGCTGAGGTCCTCTAAGGCAGCCTTAGGCACCTCAGCAGGTGATGCTGGACCCTGAGAGCTGAGGTCAGGGAGGATCTGACCTGCTGAGTGCCTGGATTATTTTACAGGACCTTGATATGCCAAGTGTCTTTTAGAGAAAGAATCTTTTTATCTTTAGCAAAAGAGTTTGTCACAAAAATATTTTGAAAATAATGGGAAAATATTTTTATTTTTGAATTAAAGTTATCCCTCATTTATATCCACACTGGGGGAGTATGTTATCTGAGTAAAATCCATCAACTTCTAGGATATACCAAGTTCCCACGGCTGGGATGTGTTAAACATTGGGACCTTTGTTTTTGATATAGTGGAGACTTTTTAGGTTAGCTTGGAGAGAGGGGATGAGAACCTTGCTTTTTACTCAAGAGAGTGTGTCAAGACTGTTATGATTTGTATCAAAATGGCAGCCAGTGGCAGAGTGCTTGCCTAGATTGTGCGAGGCACTGGGTTTGATCTTCAGAACCACATAAAAGTAAACCAAAAACTAAGGCATTCTTTCCATCTACAACTACAGATTTTTTTTTTTTAAAGCTGTTGGCAACAGGTCCACCTTGGCCCCTGGAGCCCTACCTCCACTAGTTTGTTCTGCATGCCAGTGTGGCCAGCTCACAAGGCCATGGCGAACTTGCGGTTTTTCTGTTCCTGCTTATCCGTCTGAGACATATGTATCCCACGGGAATGCCTTGACCTTTTCTGGTCTGATGGACTTATTGTTAAGGGAGGTTTTGGTACCTGACAATAATAGATGTTGAAACTAAATTTCTCCCCCCTCCCTCCTGCTTTTGGGTAGTTTTCCACTTCTGCTGCTTGGGGTATAAAAAAAGGTGTGTTAGCAATAAAGATTATTGACTCCTGGATGAAGAACCTTGGTGTCCTGTGTGTCTTTTAACCTCGCCGTCCCTCGCCGGACTCGGCTCCCTTGGCCGGACGCGGCATAAAGCAGTGCAAGGTAAAGATTCCACGAATGATTAAATGTATGATAAAAAATAGTTTGGGATTCCTTGCTGTTTGAGATGTCTTTTTCAATTAATTTAAATTTGCCTATTGTATTCAGACGGTCCTTTTGGGTGAAACTCTCTCCCCTAATGAGAATGTGATTGTAATAACCAATGCATTGAGTGTGTATGTAGTTATATGCATGATGCAACTTGTTTCCACTGTGATATGCATCTTTATTTAAAAAAAATCCACTCCAAAACATTGAAAATAATACATCACTGGAAGATTTATTTTAAATAGCAACATTTATACTGAGATCAACATCCATTTATTTTTAGTGTTTGTAACCTTTTGGTCACATCAAATTGATACCCATCCTTGATGTGCTGAATGCTGACCAATGTAGAGAGGTTTTCCATTTCTATTGAATTTAAACTCTTAATGAAAAGAAAAGTGTTTTGGTAAGAAGAAATTATATGTTAGTACCTCCTTTATCTTACTTCAGGGCTTCCCACAAAGCACCATGTTGCTTGTTGTTTTGTTTTGAGGTAGTAGGGATTGAAGTCAGGAGTGCTCTATAACTGAGCTGCAGTTCCAACCCTTTTAAATTTTTTTTTTGCAGTAGTGGGGATTGAATTTGGGTGCTTTACTGCTGAGTTATGCCTCCAGCCATTTTCTTTTTTATTTTGAGACAGAGTCTGACTAAGTTGACGAGGCTGGCATTGATATTGCGATCCTCCTGCTTCAACCTCCCGACTTGCTGAGATTTCAGGGCATGTGCCACCATGCTCAGCCCAAAGCATCACTTTTTTACATCCACAAGAATTTTACTGTTAAAAGTGACACATGGGACATGGACCCAACACCCAATGCCACACTTCCAAACTGAAGCCACAGACAGTGGTTTCCAGGTGAGAACAGGCCAGTGCTATGCCATTGCTAAATTAAGCTTTTCTGTTTGTTTTGGTTCTACCTAAGTGAGCTGGATTTGATACTACTTGTATTTATTTTGAGTGTGTTCTTCAGAAGGGGAACCATGAACTATGTATTCATCTTTATGCCTAGAGGCCTATTCTCTTCTGAGGTAGATTCCAGGCAAGGAGGAGTTGGTGTGTGTGTGTGTGTGTGTGTGTGTGTGTGTGTGAAAATTGAAACCATAAGTCTATAAGGACATATGCAGTGGCATTTGATATTCCATGAGCTTATAGTTGTTATCAAAGCTTTGAGTTCTTGGAAAAAGTGCATTTAGCTGCTTGATTTTTTTGACACAGTTGACATGGATCCTTATATTTAACTATCCTGAGTGTTGACACCTACCCTGATATGTGTCTTCCCCCTAAAAAAGAAGTTTCTGCCTCATTTCCTCCAGAAGTCCTTTGCTTGTCCTCCCCACAGGACCCATGTACTCAGCTTTGGGCTCCAGGTTGCAGCTAGACAATGCAGGTGGTTATGCAACATGAGAGGATTCAGGATACAAATTGAAATGAGAAAATAATTAAATTTTATTAAGAATATTTAAAAGGATATTCCTAGCATGTAAAAAAAAGAAGTGTAAGAAAAAATAAACAGGACAGTTTTCCAGGGGAAGGGAAGGACATAAGTGGTAGGGGAGCTGGCAATGAGTGAAGATCAGGAACTGACACTGAGGGAGGTCAGGTGCCTGAAAGGGCTCTAGATCCACGACAGCCAGAAGGTGTGCTGCCCTAGGTGGAATTGGGTCTGGCTTGCTTCTGGACCTGTAAGCTCTAGACCCCCCATAGCTGGAAGATCAGCTGCCAAAAGGAGAGATGGCTGTGTCTCCACAGAGATGGCTCCCGATTTCCCAGGATCCTCAGCTGCTGGGCCATGTGCTACCAGAGGTGGAATGGGCTCTGACTCAGCCCCACATAAATCTACCAGTTCTTGTTGCATATTGGCTGGAAGGTTTGTTGCTCCAGGAGTAGGGGTGGGGGGCTTTACCCCAACAAATGTTGGCCCAGCTGTCTCAGGATCCACAGCATTTGGACCATGTGCTGCCAGAATTGGAATGTAGTTTGACTCAACTGCTTCTGGACCTGCAAGCTTTAGATTCCCAATGGCTGGAGGATTAGCTGCCTCAAAGCAAGATGTCTATCTCCATAGAGGTGGCCCCATCCTTCCCAGGATCCTCAGCTGCTGGGCCACGTGCTGTCCAGGTGGAAACCTGCCAGCTCTTGTTCCATATTGGCTGGAAGGTCCATTGTCCCAGGAGGAGGGGGCTCTACCCCAATAAATGTTGCCCCAATTACCATGTGATCCAGAGCATCCAGACTATGTGGAATGAAGTCTGGTTTGGCTGCTTCTGGACCTGCAAGCTCTAAATCCCCCATGACTGGAAGATCAGCTGCCAGAAGGGAAGATGGATGTACCTCCACTGAGGTGGCCACAGCTGCCACATATGTACAGCTGGAATATGTGCTGCCAGAGGTGGAATGTCCTGGGACTGAGCTTCCTCCTGCTTTGTAGCTGGACCTGTGACTCATGGTCTCTCCCTGGGGATGGTATTGGAGCTGACCCTTCCTTCAATGTTGATATTAGCACTGATTATTCCTTCTCTTCAAGATCAGGGCCTCTGTCTCTGGGCTACCCCAAATCTAAGGATTGAATTAGGAAGGCTGCTGACAGAGACAGCTCTGTATCTCAAACATGACTGCCTTTCCCTGAGCCTTTTCCATTCATAGAAGACCCCTGCCTCCAAGAGAAGCCCTAGTCCCCACAACAGGATGTCTTCCTAGACTAGGGTCCCCTGCCTGCAGGCTCCTGTTCCTGACCAAAAGCCAGCTCCTGGAGCTTCCTCCTGCTGGGGCCAAGTACTGACCCCCTCAAATGTTTTTAGTCACCCAGCCCAAACCTCCTCACCATAGGGCTCAGCCTCACTGAAACACAGGTCCTTCTATAGTCTGTGGCCTCAGAGTAAGGTCTGAGCCAGGTAGCACATAGGCCTAATACCTCAAAGAAGTAAGGCTTGAGGCAGAGGTACTGCTTATGTTTGCCAGGTCAGAAATTCTCAGGGTATTTGTTCAGCCAGGTTTTCAGGATGGAGCAGGAAGCACCAGGGGCAAGCAGGCAGACAACAATCAGGGGCCTGGCCTGGCCTTCCCCTGGACCTTTTCAAGGCCCCTTATCGGGCCACATTACTCATGTACAGATGGGCACGGAGAGCAGAGTTGTGAAGCCCATGTGTGGGCAGGCCATTCCCTACACATCCTGTTCAAGCCTGGCTTGGAGGGGTTGTGGTGGGGATAAATCCTGAAGAGTGCCCCTGGTCTGAGCCACCAGCCTCCCCTCTGCTTCTCCCTGGATGCCTGGGATCCCACCTACAGCTGTCTCTTCCTCCTGAAGGCGAAGCCCCAAATGTCAGCCCTCTAGTGTGAATCCAAACAAGTGTGGGACCCTGGGTTTGCCCATCTGTCCTCTCCCCCAGCCTCCCAAGTATCCCACTCTGGAGAAAGGAGCCCTCCCTCCTGATCCAAAACCCAACTGAGGAAACTGCTTTGCCTGATGCCTCAAAGAAGTAAGGCCTGAGGCAGAGGTGCTGCTTTATGGGGAAGGGGACAGTCACACAGAGAAGCTCACAGCCCCAGGCAGCCCATTGCATAGGGCTAGGCCTGGGGCAAGCACTTGGAGGGCTCATCCTATTTGATCCTCAAAACACCCTAGGATGGTGTTCCTCCGAAACCCCCAGCTTTCACAGAGCTCACTGGGGCTCAGAAAACTGTTATGGCATTCCCAAGACCCAGCCTGAAGGGGCAAGTGCCCTTGGGCTTGGAGGTGGTGTGCACCTTTTGTATAGCAGGTTTAGCACTTGCTGGGTGGTAATGAAACTTTGGAAGGTATGCAGGAAGCAGGTATGAAGAAGGGGTCCCCACACCACAGGGCAAGCACCAGGTGGTTTATAAGCTTCTCCACTATGCCTGTCTCCAAGGTCCCTACCCTGTCATGCTCATTCAGTGTTTGGACTGACTCATTTTTGCCCTTGGATGGAACCAAGAAGGGATAATTCTAATGTGGAAATAGTCGCAAACTGTAAAATGACTAATGTCCATACAGTGAAGTGAAAAAGAGCTCCAAAAGTATTTTCTTCCATATTTACACACACACACGCACACACACACACACACACACACACTCACACACACCTGGGGAGCCTCTGGGGCCATGTTTGGGGTAGGGTGATCAGAGTATTGGGCTAGATTATGCCAACCCGCCTTGGCCTGTTCCCTGTCACTTCTGGGTTCCTCCAGGAAAATCTCTAGATGCATCCGGGGGGAGAGGACTGACCTAGCATCTCCAGACACGGGCGAAGCCTTTACTCAATACCTGAGGCCTGAACCTTGGCAACTGGGAAGACAACAAAAGATCATCACTCCTTCATGGTCTCCAGACAACTGAGCTGGCTGGGGCTGGTTCTGCCTGTGGGTGCCTGGCTGCCATGGACCCAAATTCTGTTTTCCCATTGTCAAGGAAGTAAGGTTATTTCATGAGTCCCTTTACCAGAGTCTCTTCCTCACACAAGATTGTCCCAAAATTCACCAGTAATGCTGGCTATTCTGCTCTTCCCAAGATACACAAGTGGACACAATTACACCAATACACTCCTGACCCATCATCCCTCAGGCAGGCCTGGGTATACCCAGTGGCCCAGCTTTGGGGACACAGCTGGGTTCAGACCTGGCCCCTTCTTTCTATTTTTGTGACCTTGGACAAGTCATTGTGCCTCTCAGGGCCTCCTGAGACTCCCTACTTGTTCCCTGGGGGTCATGTTAGCATCTGCTTCTAAGTATGTCATCAAGTGTATGTGGCCTATAAGTACCTGTATTACCCATGAAACCTTAAGGCTGGAGTCACATGTTTCTAATGCACAAACTTTAAAGGGGATGATCACTAGAAGAGGAGGGAAAAAAAGATTGTAACACAACCAAATCTGGGTCCCACACAGAGATCTAAGGAAAGTCTCTTCACCTCTTGGCCACATCCTACTCTGTACCATGGAGACTTTGAAGTGAGATTCAGAGATTACCCGACTGGTATAGATCTTCAGATGGCTTCCTCTCATAAATTGCACATCCCACAAGTGCACCCCACAGG